GGACAAACACCACGCTGGCAAATCTAAAGGACCCTACCACCCCCCTCCATAGACATTTGAATGGTAAAGGGCCCAGGCAAAGTAAGGCCGCATCATCGTTTGATGTATCTTAGGTGCAATACACACTCTGCCAAAACCAACGGCTGGAACTGTTGCTTGGCAAGATGAACGCATGCACTGTGCAGTTCGTGCAGTTGCCGTCGAACACACAAGACCCCCCACACAGACAGACATGAAATCACGCAAACACAAACTTGCCAACTGCTAAAATTATTGCATTCACACTCTGCCTAGCAAACTGCAAGCATGCCTGCCAACTGCACGCCCCTTCACAAGCAGCACATCCGCAACAACAAAAAACTCTGCTCACTTACTGGAGTGTTGGACCAAAAGAAAATCCACCACTTGCCCACGAACCTGCACACACCCAACATTAAACAAGTGCACCAAACCGCAAGCGGACAGCACATCAAAACACCGGCCTCGGTCAAAGGTTCAACGGTGGCAAGACCTCAGCGCAAAACAGTTAGGTGAGCTGGACCAGTTGGAGTTGACACCCAAGCAGCCAACGGCAATGAGCACCGTCATGTTTTCACACGTTGGGTGGAAGCAAATGCCTGCCAGCTTGTTCAGTGGTAGGTGCTTTGCAAAACGCTTTGACCATTGGCGTGCTGATTTATTTTTCAAAACTGCGTGCAGCCTTGCAAATATAAAGCGATCTCAGCAAGCCTGGTTTCTGGTGGGTTGTGTCAGAGTGTGATTGGCAAATGGCACGTATCAAACAGACAACTTGCTTGAGAAAGGGTGGACCGAAGGCTGGCACAACTTGCCAGAAGAGACAATGCTGCCTTTCTCACTGGCCTGCTTTAGACAAGTCCTCTTCGTGGGTGTCGTCCGTGGCCCCTGAAGCTTGCAAACAAGACATGTCAAAATGGCAAGTCTCAACAGGCAGCAAAGTCACCATCCAGGCAATGCATGGTGGCAGGTGGAAAAACCAGTTCAAAACGGAGGCAGGTGTAACCGCAAGGAAAGCCTTTAGGCCAGCCTGCGGGAACTTCCGAGACGCCAAAGGGCTTGGGGGCAAAAACGGAATCAAACGAAAGATAAGAAATCAGCCGCACGCAGCCAAACTGTAGCAGTACTAAATTATCTACCAAACCAACGTCTAGCCATTTCAAAGCAGCATCGAGCTAGCACAATGCAATGCCGAATCAAGACTACAACAAACTTAAGGGATACCCTAGCCAAACAATTGGAATTGCCTTGGATTGCTGTGGTGGGTAGAAATTTGCTGAATTGTAAATAATAATTCATATTAGGAATACGGAATCACAAAGTAGACCTTGACTTGATCGTGGGTGAGCTCTGTTTCCTCCCAGGTGAGCTCGCTCTGACTGGTGCAACAATGCACTCGGCTCTTTCCGGCCACACGTAACAAATCAGTGGCTCTGTCTACTTCCAACTGGCATGCAGTGAGCTTACGCGACGTTTGGTCTGCAGTTGCTTGCGCAAGCGACTGGAATTGTGTATTATCTTAGGTCAATCCCCGTCCCTAAGGGGGGGGGGGAGTGGGGGACCTCAAAAAATGCAATTTATTTATTTTCTGGGGGGGTAGCCCTTGAAATATTTCAATTGTGGACCCCAACCCCGAAGAAAAATGCAACCCTTTTCTGGGACGAGCGTTCGGTTTGGTGGCCGCTCAAAGCCCGCAAGCCGCAGATTCTTGGAAGCGTTGTGATTATTCTTGTGGTTTTCGAGCCATTTTGTTTTAGAGGCACCAGTTTTTGGAGGGGCCCCAGGGCCAGTAATGTCCTCCCAGGCGCAAGCGGGAGAACCGTTTGGGTCGGGGTCCCCCCCCCTTCGAACATGTTTATGTTGGGCCCCTCCGTGTTTCACAACCCCCCCCCCTCAAAAGTGCAACACAAAATGACATTTCACTGGGGTACTCCCCCCCTCAAATTACAATTGTTAGGGGGGGAGATTCTTAGGTCTCTTGCGATCGTAGGTGTGCAGAATCAGAGTCACGCGTATAATTATTGGAGCATCCATGGCGTCTGCGCTGTTCCGCAAGAACCCTGCCGTGTGTGCCCCATTGCTGGCCGTCTTTTCTTGAAGCCGGACCTGCTGCCAAGAAACGTGCTCTCTTCTGCCTGCAGGGCAGACATGCCGAATTTGGGTTGTGAATGGCTCATGTGCGCAGGCAATGTCAAGCATTGACGCTGTGAGTACAACCAGCATGGTCGTGGAAAATAATCCTTCCGTTCTGTGATACTGATTGACTCCCACAAGCACGTGATCACTTCAGCTGAGGATTCCCTTGGTATTGCAGAAGCTTGCGCCGAACCCTAGTTTCCCACAACCATGACAACACACGCTTTCCAAAGTGTGGATACATCAAACAAATATAGCCTATAGACGCTTGACGAGAGTACCCACAAATTGCCAAGCACCAAGCAAACAGTTGCAAACACAGGTTCGCACGCTCTTGAACCACGCGTGCTACTGTGGATGAACAAAAACCACTTCGCACTAGTTGAGTTTTGTAGTTTATCAGCCAGTAGTCAAATCGGGTTTCATCAATGCCAACTGGTGCTAATCGGAATGGCTCCACAATATGGTTCCCTTTAAGTCACCTCAACAAGGCAACTCTGAGAAAAACAACATGGTGTCCGGGATGACTTCACAAACGGCATGCACCGGATCTAAGCCGCGCCTAGGACTCTGGTAGGTCAGCAGAACCCGGGTCCCGGGTGAATCCTGGCACCATGCCATGCCCATGGCATCGGCAATTTCCAAAAGGGTCCCAAATCCACTTGGTCTTGCCAAAGGGAAGCCGGAACTTCTAGCAACTTCAGAGGGAATCGCCAAGAATCAGGGAAATATAGGGACCCTTGTCAAAGTCGTGCGAGTCTCAGTGTCTTCTTGGAATGTCCCCACTATTCGCCGGGGCCCCAGCGAAGCTCTCTGCGGGTGCTCCGGACTTTGCGAGCTCCACGAGAGGCAGCAAAGCCTTGCAACATCGAAAGCAGCGCCTCCGGTGCCTTTCTTCGAGTCGCAAAAAGGCTCCAACGAAAAGGCCTCCACTGTGCCATGAGGGCATGCCTGGCATGCCTTGATCTTGCATGCTGCATTCTGCTTTGGACCCTGTGGCCAAGGTTCGCCTACCATTGGACCAGACGCACCTCTCCGACCCCCTGCGCGGTGCTCAAAGTGAGCCCCTTCGAATTCGGCGCTTCTCGTGGCCTCCCTGACTCCTCCGGCCCCACGCGCCTCGACAGCAACCTAGCACGGCCAGGAACCGAGGTGGACATGTGGCAAAGATACGTCTGGTTAGTCGAGCATCGGATAAGTTAATGGTTGCATGTTCCTCAAAGACATTCAAGTTTGCCTTGGACAAACAAGCATGTGGTGCATGAACTGATTGATGATAGATATAAACTTATATGTGCATTCCACTCAACCTCTCAATGCCCATATTATCAAAGACCGCCTCGACAAGAATTCTCCCAGCAAGTCGAAACAGCCGTGTCAGCCCCAAGAACTCTCTGCCTTGAGTGTCATGCTAACTGAATACCAAGCGCTTACCAGCCCCAACTGCATGATCTTTCACTCAAAGAGATGTAGGTGCATCGGAGAATACACCCATGACATCAGAAATGGGGCATTTCCCCTACGACTAGTGAGCTTCCTAAAGTCTGGCAGACTTCCACAAATAATTTGCTAATGCTCGGGAGTTGCAACTTTACACCCAAGATCTTGGCCCCGCCTCTGCCTCGCAGGACTCCACCATGGCACATGCTATGATCACAAGATGAGGTGATCACGTGTCGCTGGCTAACTTTGGACATCTTTCAATCTCACACATGGGTAGCTTTGTTAGCCTCATTTAGATGCACTTCAGATCCTTCATCTCGAGCAGCACAAGTGAGCTTCTGTGCCTCGTGGCGTACATGTCGCAATATGAAGTCTGGGGCTGCGTTGCTGTGACTAACAGCTGCCACCTTGAAACTTCGCAAGCTGCGAGTAATGCACACACATGGCCCCTGCCTGAACAATCGCAGCAAAACCTAGCAACGCACACCTGAATCATCTTGGCGCTTTCTCCTCAGCCTTGCCACGGCTTTTGCCAACAGCTGACCGAGCCCCACGCGACGCGCAAGTACCTCTGCAACAAAGCTTTAACATCGGAACAAAACCTCAACAGGGCCCTAAGAGCTCCACGTGCTTCGCTCAAGGCTCGAAAACTCTTCGCCCGGCCCTCTTTGTAAAGGCCAACTCTTGGACTGGAAGGATGACGCTTGCCGCACAGGGTTGGATTGAATTATTAGGCGACGGTGCACCAATGTGATATCTACGACTGAGCAATATTGAGGTCAAGGCTGCCAACAACTTTCAATTTAGATAGCGTCATGGGATTTTATTCGCCCAGTTTGCCTAGCTTTTATGCCATTTCTGTTGCATGCAAGCATGCTTGGCCATCCTTCCGGAGCCATGGATAATGACTGAATTATGCGTCAGCAATTTCATCGCAAACATCTGCAGGCTGTGCGGCTCGAACCCGCACTTCTCGAGCTGCAACGAAGCAGCGCTATGGCAGGCAAAGCCCGACGGGCTTGGGTCGCGCAACTAGCAAAACCAAAGTGCAAGCTCCACTTGGACACATTGTTCATTTTTGGATTTGTGTTCTAAGGGCAGGCTTTCCTTTGCAATGAATTGCAAGGACCAGGACATTCTAAATAGATTTGACCGCCTCAGCTTGTGCCTAACTTTAAGCCTGCATGCTAGCTGCTTGGCACCGCACCGGCCTTGCATGCGACCCTTCGATGGCCAAGCCCTGCGCTTGGGCCGGGCCGCTGGGATGAGTAGCAGTTGATTAAAACAGGTACCGGACCTGTTGTACAGCGCAGGCTCACACCGTGCCACCAGTCCCGGTGCAAGGGAATTCGCGTCGCCTACTGTAAAGCAATTGCGAGTGATCAATGCTTGAGAAGCTTCAAATCAGCAACTTGATTCAAGCCCTTCATCCCACTGCAAGTCAAATGATACGGTCCGGCTGGAATTTCCCAGGCCCAGCCGCGCTCAGCGACATAGCACCGCTGGAGCCAAGGTTTGTTTGGGCAAGCGCTCGCTGTCCTCCGCCTCACGCAGAACCACGCGCACAGCCACCTGAGCCCTCCTTAGCCTTGCCCCATTTGCGCAAGAGCAACCCGACCACCATCCGCACCATCCCCACCACCCCCACCATCCGCACCACCCGCACCACCGCAACACAGTCGACCACGACTACGACCCGAACCCATTAGGCTTCGACAACAACAACGACGACAACCAACAGCCAACAGCCAGCAACCACCGACCACCACCAACCACCAACCACCAACCACCACTGCAACCACAA